ATTATTATTATTATTATTATTATTATTATTATTATTATTATTATTATTATTATTATTATTATTATTGGATAGAATAGTGCATAGGTAAATACATGATTTACTGCCAGAATTGGAGTGAACTGTGTGTCTCGTATCTGTTGCTGTAAAGTCGTCTCTAGAGACCTGCTATCGTTTTATGACTACAATGACGTGAACAGCTTAGTGTAGGCTGCAGATTTAGTCATCTCTAACATTTTTTTTTTACTTTTAGCAGAAAGAAGGAGTCAGAATATAAACTGTCAATCTTAATATTATATATCTGTAGTTTCCCAGTAGTTTTCCTATAAGTTCACATTTAATCTGTTGCTAGTTGAAGAATTTCACTGAAAGAAAAGCTTATTTTACATATTGCAACTTACAAATCTGCCATAACCAAATAAAAAGTTACAAACATAAATACAAAACAACGAGGTTATTAATAAAAAATTAATGTTGTAACTTTTTATGTTGGCTTTTGACCTTTTCTGGCAAACTTTCCCCACATAAGTTTAAATGGAGTTTTTATTGAGTAAGTAAGAGTCCTTCCTCGTGAAGCGCACTCATACAATTTTGGAAATAAACTTCTACAAAATAATTTGGTGCCATTTCAGAGCTCAGTGGGAGAACACAGGCTGATGATTGGATCCTCGGGTAACAGTTCCAAACGAGGTCAGGTTCACCGAGCCTCGGGACTGCTGACCCATCAGAAGTGAAGTCTTACCAGGACGATGGGGCAGATTGAGTTGGGGGGCAGGATGTGATCCTTCAGGGGTCCACAGTCACACTCAGGTTTCACATGTGAGGCACACTTGTTATGGAGCTGGAGGAGGTGGCAACCGTTATTAACAACCAACTCGTGTCAATAAGAGCTCATGTTTAAGTGTACAATTTCAGGTATATGCTCCAGACTAATTTACATTACATGTGTCATTGTCTCCATTTTATTTTCTATTAACGTGCAACTGCAAACAAGTGTTTTGGGAGTGTAAATTGGTGGGATGACTTGTGAGGTAGGAGAGGTGCAAAAATGAAACCCTAAACAACAAGAAGCAGTGGGAATATAATAAGGAGGTGGCTGGCTCTCCTCGGGTGTCGGCTCACCGTGATTTGACACCAAACACAGTGGAGCCCAGTCAGACCCTGGTAACACTTAATGGTTTTGTGACACTTGTCACACTTGGTGGGGCAGTTCCCTTCCACCCAGAAATGATGCATTACCTGCAGAGAAAAGGAGAGATAGCACACAGAGAGGGAAAAAAGTGAGAAAAGAAACATGGTGCAGAAAAACAAGATATATACAAAAGCACAAGTGACACAACAATTAAAGAAAGCAAGGAGGAAGGGAAAAACAAGCAAGAAGGAACAAGAAGGAAACAAGAAGGAAAAACAGAGAGTGAGGAGGAGAAAGCAAAGCAAACAGTGCTGTCTGCATCCCCGTCTCTAAACTAGGTTTATCCTGGTAATTAGAAATGCTTAGTAGCAGATTGAGTTGTTGCAATTCCATGAGAGGAAGAGAAGCCCTTATCCTAAGCTCCACGGAGCACTGCTGATCCAAGCGTGCCGACTGGTAAACACTCCAATTGGACGTACCTCTGTGTTTTTCTTGGACTTGACATAGGTTTTGATGCAAGACAGCGGAGCGCGAGCCACACAGCGCTCGTGGACTGTGTACTTGCAGACTGGAGCAAAAAACAAAACACAAAAACATTGTTTTGAATGAGCAAAAGAACAAAGAAGAACTTCTCTTTTGTTGTAAAGCATGTACACTAGGGTTTGAGTTATGTGTTTGTTCATCTTTTTCTAACTCAGTAAAGGGTGCACTGTAGGAGGCTGAAACACGTGCAGGTCTTATCCTTTTAAAATAAAAGTCTCTGTTAAACTGTTTACTTCTCCTTTATCTCCACCTGTCCTGTGTTTTAGACAATCATGTGGCACTAAATCAAAATTATTAGACATTTACTTTTTGATGTCAGTTGTTTTATGTAAATATCCTTATCACTACCTTTCATGCATGAAGGGCCACGCAGATCTTACAGATCTTGCAATGTTACATTTCATCTTTTTAAACAGATAAGTGCATCTGTCAAACCTGTAACACTGACTGAATTACTCACATGAGCAGCAGAGACCCTGCTTCCCCAGTCCAATTAGCATGTTGAGACACAGGTTACAGTAGGCTGGCTTATTGAAGTGCTTCAGTCTCCACACGTGCTGCCCGTCATCTTTTACGTTCTGCAGCAACAGAAACAGGTGCAACCATTAACTGATGGAACAGTCACCGAGTCACTAATCCACCGCTGTATCACATGGCTTCATATTCAGGCTGGACAATCACCAGTTAATCATCTGATTGACTAAATTTGTTCCTTTTATCGCAAGTTGAATTCTGTACAAAAGCACTTTGTAGTTGATTTTTCAGTGGGAGAAACATTTCATCACTTACCCAAGTGACTTCTTCAGTCTCAGCTGATTTGTGAAACAGCTGCAATCAAGAGATGAGATAAGAGTCCATCTTTCACCATCTCAGGCCCCCTCCTCGGTTCAGCCACCGTTGTTTCCTTTTCACATAAATGGCCTCCTTGACTCCATGCTCAAACCAGCCTTCCTCCCTGTGCACATCTTCATCACTGAATGAGTGGCCTGACAGGGTAGCTCCTCCATGTTGCGCTGTGTTTGGTTTCCTCTTGAACTTCATCGTGTACATCATATCGCTCTGTTTCAGGTAGGAAACTGGGTCTTTGCGGTGGATGAATCTTTGGAGTTTTTTGGTCTTTAAAAGTCATTGAGACTGTTTTGAAAAAATGTGTCTCGGCTGTTCCGAAACTCCTGATGCATAACGGATCGCCAATGGTTTTTGCTTAGGCAGCATTTTTCCGTCTTCTCTCCTGGATTGCCTGGAGTGTTCTCCAAGCCTCTTCCCAGCTTCCCATGCCCAGCTGGGATAACCACATTTACTCAGGGCTTCTTTGATATGATGTTCTTCTGCTTCCCAGTCTGCTGGGATGCTGTTCACTCGCTTACAGCTTTGATTGCAGCCATTCTCCAACTCTCTGTGAACAGTTCTCATGGCCACAAATCAATGGCGATGACAATTTGCATATTAATGATCATGAAACTACCCTCATGGCTCATTCTTAGGAAATGGTGCTAGATTCCGTCATTATGTATTTGTAGTGCTTATAAAATTTGGGAAACATGCAGTTAGCTGAGACTGAAGAAGTCACTTGATGAGTGATGAAACGTTTCTCCCACTGAAAACACTGAATTCAGATGAACAGAATCAACTTTTGGGGGATTTCATCAAGACAAAGCATTTTGATTTTCTTTGTATATTATTCTAGGTCAAGCAGTCTAAATTCAGTAAGGTCAGAAGGCATGATTTTCTGTTACGCTTTTGTAGTAATATTCATTCATAAAAAAGGATACGTGGTAAGTTTTTATTAAAAGGTAGTCAAATGCTTCCACCTAGTGGAAAAAGAGTGAACTGAAAAGTCCAGCTAATGCTGTAGCTCTTTGGGAATTTAACTATGCTATGTTTTTACATTTACAATTTAAATAGTCAACTTTAAATTGGTTCTGTGCCTAGCTTTATCCCTCGAGTTATGTGCCTTACTGTACAGCTTGCTGTATCAAACAAAAAGTGTTCTTCTGAGAATGGTCAAGTCAAAGTCTGGGCTAGAAATGAGTGAAAAAGCAGCCAATTTCTAAAGACTTGGAGAATTTTTGTTTTAGCATAGTACTGTACTAGCATAGCACTGTGCATCTAAGAAAGCTTTGGGCTTCTCAGTATTAGCACCAAATGTGACTCTCTCTGTGGACTCACTGTCTCCAGGCCCAGCAAGACTAGCAGGGGGATGGTGGTCATCCCTCCCTGGATCCACTCTTCCAGTGATACAGTACCATCGTGATCGTAGTCAATCTCCTGCATCATTTCCTTAAGGATCTACAGTAAAAACAACAACAACAAAAAAAACCATATTGAGTTGAGTACACATGATTGTCTCAGGCTAGTAAGCAATATTTTCATGCATACTCTATTTCTCAAGCAACATAGGGTATGAATATACTCCTTACTGGTTTCAGCTCAGTCACATCCCATTCCAGGTACTCTGCGACATGCATCATCTGGGAGACAATGTGCTCTAACTCCTGCGGCGACACCACAGACGGTCATTATAGGCACAAAAACACTGTGTTTACCTTTCTGTATGTCGCAGCCTTAAGTTAATGTCACTAAATTTCTTTGGCATGAATAGACTGATGAACAGCTCGTAATAGCAGGTTGGAAATGTCATTCTTCTGCAGAGAAGAGTTGCACACAGCAAAAACAAAGGCAGTGTGGGAAGCACTCTGAAGCTGAAGGTTTAATTACAATGGTTGGTTTTTGGGGGCAGAGGCGGGTGATGTTATTATCTAGTACCACACTGAATCACTATGATGCACTTAGGATATCTTTGAAAACTAGAGTGTATGAGTGTAAATGAAGAGTTCATACTGTTTTTCATTTTCTCTTAAATTCTGAGTATGAATTGGGTCCTACTGAATGGCTATCTCTGCCTACATTTGTATTCTCTCTGCCCTCTCATTAGTCCTCTGTTTTCTATTATGCTTTCTATCTGCCGTCCAATAATGGGTGAGAGATGACTAATAATTGAATACGTTACCAAACCCACTCCACCTTCTCTATCTCCCTTTTAACCCTTTAATTTAAACCCCCACCCCCTCCTACACACTCTGGACAGATAATGAGCAGTGCTCTTTCATTCATAACTATGTCCAAGCCACAGATTTTACTCATCCTTGTTTTTCTCCATTACTCTTCCCATTTCATCCATTAATTTACTTAATTTATTTAAATGATTTTGTTGATGGAGAAACAGACATACAGAGAAATAGAATCTGATGGACAGAAATGATTAAAAAAAATGGAGATTAACTGATAACTGATTAGAAAGATAATCAGCAAAAAACGTTATCTTATGTTTACAAAAGACAGCTTGCAAATCATATAGTCTATTATTATGAATCCACCCTTGAAACCATCGACTATCATCTGATGATAGTTTAGCTGTTAAATATTATAATTTTTTATTTAAAGTTATCTAAGTGGTGAACAGAGCTGGATATCTGTTACCTGACAGAAAAAAAGTCTCAGAAACCCTGAAAAACTGAAAATCTATGTCATCGGACAAGCCACTGGATTGCTTAAATGCTCACTGACCACTTTATGACAGTAGATATTCCTTGTTAGTACTAGTTTGGACCACTTTTTGTTTCCAGAATTAACTTTATTCTTCATGTCATTAATCCAACAAAGGGGCTGGAAACATCCCTCAGAGACTTTGCTGCATATTGACACGATAGTATCATACAGTTGCTGCAAATCCATGATAGGAATTTCCCATTCCACCACATTCCAAGGGTGTTCTATAGGATGATGGTGACAGTGGAGGCAATTTAAGTACAGTGAACTCATTGTCATGTTCAAGAAGCCAGGTAACATTTTCCCAGTGTGTGGTTTGATGGATGGATGGATGAATGGATGGATGGAGACTTTTATTTGTCACATGCAAAGTTTACACCTGCAGTGAAATAGGACCCTTCCAACCATACATCCATAGCACAGACATCACATGGGAAGATAGGTCTAATTTTGTTGAGCCCGTGTGAATTTCAGCCTCAGATTCCTGTTCTTAGCCAAGTTAGTGTTGCCTTCCTATTACAACAAACTAATCCGGCCATTCTCCACTGACCTCTGGCATCAACAAGCCATTTCTCCCCCATATAATTGCTGGATTTTTTTCTGTTTCTCTCATATGGGTTTTCTCTATAAACTCATCTGCTTATGTGGGTAAATCACAGTAGCCAGTCAGCCATTTGTCAGTCAAGAATACTAATTGGCAAGTGGAACTTGAGCTTATATAATGTTGCATATATAATATTATCAATGCCATAAAAGCTCATAAAAAAACAATAACAAAACCATTTTGCTCATTAAAAACGAAAGTATTCTGAGGTAGGATCCTGATTTTGTAAATCAAAACAAACACTCCAAAAGGGAAATATTTACCGAGCTGTCCAAGGAGCCATTTCCATCTGTGTCGTAGAGTCGAAACATGACTATGGAGACAAAAAGAAAATGTCAGCTTATTGTAGTAACATCCTGGATTCTCCAAAGTTTCTCCGCCTTTCAGGTCAGTATTTAGTGCCACTCTAGCTTTGGCTACACTCTTCAGTGCCAATATCACGTCAGTGTACGCAGAGGAAAACCAAAGTCTTTATCTCAGCAGCTGTCTCATCAGCCTCTGAAGCTGCAACTTTAAGTGTCCCCCAATTACCATTTAAAAGTGTCACCATGGGAACGGACAGCTCCTAAATCACAGATGTGATTGATCATCTCTTAACGTCAGTAATTTTATGGCGCTGTGACAAAATCTTGAATCATTCCTCACTTCTTTATATTTTTGTGTCAAAAAGCAAGTCTTTTTTTTGTGATTTAAACCAATAATATTTCTGACCTTTATTTTTTGGTTAGCAGAAAATTTAGCAACTTTGTTACTAGTAGTCTGTCTACTGTTACAATTTGTTTAGTTGACTATTTAAAAAGTTTAAAAGATAGCACAGTCTGATAGGCAAAATAGTGTTTTTGTTTTTTTGAATCCCCGAAGAGTTGAACGCGTATTTCGAGACGATGTGCAGTGTGTCCTTAAAAACCGTAGGGAAACTGAGCAAGTAGAGGACAGAAAAGTAGCAGGCCTAAAATCCTATTTACAGCAGATGAGCATATAAACAGTATCTGAAAACCTGACACAGGACCCGGGAGAAGGAAAGGAAATGGTGAGAAAAGCCTGGGGTATGTCAAATTACATAAGAACTGGACTGAAAATCAGTGGCAGCAGGCCTAATGGAGTGACGAATTTAAATTTGAATATCTACAGTCATGTGTAAAACATGGTGGAGGCTGTGTCATGGTTTGGGGCCTGCATTTCAATCAGTGGTGTTGGGGATATTGTCGGAATTAATGAAATTATGAACACAGAAAGGTATCAGCAGATTATGATTCACATTGGAATTAGGCCTGCTGCATATCATATTGCCTGTTAGAAATTTTTACCTGATGCAAAACTGTCATATTGCAATGTTGTTGCAATAGCAACAGAGTCAGAACTGCATGTAAACCTTCAATGATGATTTAGTACCTAAAATGCTTCATCAAACTGCAACAAAGTGAAGTATTTTGCTAAATATGCAAGAAAACTTCCAGCTAAAGGTGGGAACCGCAAATTTGTTTCACAACTTGAGGCAAAAACACCTTACACATAGCATATGTGCATATGTGCATATGTGCATCTCTTGCAGAGTTATATAAAGTTTTAAGCACTTCTCTACTTTTAATTTTCCAGGAAAAATACTAGCTAGACGTCTTTGGTGTTTGCACCTGAAAGGAGCCCAGACCTTATTTGCTTATTGAAGCAGTGGGGGAACATCTTGACAGGGAACAGCACAAAAGCCAGCATCACCCAAAGACTTTTGTAATATCCTCCAAGAAGTTTGAAGAACTACTTAAAAGCTTGTCCAACATCAAAGCCAAGGGTGGCTATTTTCAAGCTAGTTATAATTGCACAAACTCTGTTTTTTTGCCTTACTATGGTATTTCCATGTATTTCTGTGTGTTTGCAGTTTTTTCGCCGCTAAAACTATTTCTAATGTTCCTTGCAAAATATAATGATATGAATGGTTTTGCACAGTACTATAAGTCCTGCTGACCTGTGACAACAACATCAACAGGAAATGGCTGTGCACACTGTTTCAGGCAAATGCCTATAAATAGAAAAAAAAACACTGCCCCACCTCCAGCCTGGCTTGGGTGCAGCACATTGTGGCTACTGACATCATCACTAAAGAGTTGATGTCACATGGCAGCTTGTCAGGCCACTAACGAGGAGCTAATTGCCAGTTTCCAGGGAAACAGAGGTGATGGTGGTGGCTGATCCTGGTGTCTGCTGTTGGGTGGAGGTTGAGGGTGTTAGAAGGGGGTGACTGTAGTGATCAAAGAGGACCCAAAAGTAAAGAGAGCGAAAAGGGTGTTGACATGATACCATGTAGTAGAAATGGGCTGAAATAAGAAAAGAAATTTCTTTCAAACATACAAATCTTTAAAATAATTGTGACTGCAAATAAGTTCAAATGTATCTTCACTCAAACCCAGCTGTTTCCTGATTACTATTCAGGTCATTGTTATCATCTAAAAGAAAAATGAGAACTACATTTTATGGACTTTGGTGAGGCCAGTTAAAACTGTAAACAGGGATCAAACATAAATAACGGCAGTGTGACAGTTGTAAGTGAAACTTGATATGTGTCCCAGGAGGTCTGCATTGAAAATAAATAAATAATTTTTAAAAAGTTAATTAATAAAAAACTTACTCACCTTTAACAAACTGCCAAAATTAATTTTCCCCCACAGAAACAGCTTTAATAAGCCACAACTTGATTAAGTTTGCATCCACATTTAGTAGAAAGTGTGGGTGCATTGCTGTATATGTGTACTACTGCCCCCTGTTTATTAGTGGAATAATGTTACTACAAACCCTTCACTACACATTTTATTTCAGAAATAAATATTAGGTATAAATAATTAAATGATATAAACTACCTTTTATTTAAAAATCAACAATAAAAAGAAAAAACGGTATTGTAAGTTTTTGTTAGTTTTGACCTTTAATCATTTTGTTATCATAAGAAGTGTTTTCTTAAAGTTTTTAATGGCCTGTAGCAAAAATACCTGAAAGTGGGAATTTTTAAATTTATTTTTATTGTCTTTCTCATTTTTATTTGTACATTTACATGCAATTTGTATTTTTTTAAAGCTATTTTAATTTTTAATGAACCTGATGTAAATAAAGCAGCACATATGTGTCTAAGAACCACTTTAAATCTGTGCTGTGCCTTTTCAAACAGTCCAGAAGAGGGAGCCATCCTCTACCGAAATAACATGTTAAAGCCCACAGCGGTTTACAGGGACAGGGTGCAGCAATGACACATCACCCGTAGTTAATTCCATAATGTGTTCCCAGTCACAGGTACCATCTGCTGAATTATTTAATAATCCCCTTTGCTTAATGGGAGCAACATTACTCGATAATTTAGCAGAAGCATGAGCATTATAGCAACACAGAAAAAACGGCTGCTGTCCAATTGAGAAAACTTTGTGAATAATATATGCAATGACTGCAATTAAGAGGTGTGTCAATAGACTGCCAAAATGAGGTATCAAACACCTGTTGGTGAAGCTTTATGGGAGCTCAGAAGATCACTTTAAAAGAAGGTGATCTGCATTAAGACAGAAAGTGGAGATGCAGAAAAAAAGATTGATTTTTACATTTATAATAAAATAGGCATTTAAGCTGTGGCCAGATTAGAACCTCTGAGTTTAGAAAACCCAAAATGTTAATGGCTGATAAGACTGGCTGCAAGAGGAAACATTTTACCTTAATTCGTTTTAAGTAAAGAATAATGCAATAAGAAAAACAATTCGGTTGAATGCACTTCTTAATTACCAAAAAACATCTCAGGAAAGTCTGACTCACTCAGATAAAATGCTGAGAAAAAAAGCAAACCAAACAAAGAAACCAGCAGGTACAAAGTTATTAAGGAAATATTTTGACTGCAACAAGACATTAAAACAGAAAGTTTGAGTTGAGTATTTTACTAATTGTTGAGCATCATTTATAATAAAGGGAACTAACTGCTAATTTCCAATTCCATAATTTTATTCTTGGACTCTAATCAAGGAGTTTTGGATGAGTCGATCCATCCAATTTCTTACAGAACCAGTTTTAGCTTCTTTCTTCCTTCTTCCGACCCAACTTTCTTGCCATCGGCCAACCAAACAAAAAGTTTGAACAGCAGGTGGGTTTCTGTTAGTAGATTATATATACATTAGAGTAAAAAGTTTGGAAACAGCTTCTCATTTAATGTTTCTTTATTTTTACTACTTTATACATTGTAGACACATACTGAAGACATCAGATATATGAAGCAATTTATATGGAATTATGTAAAGAAAAATGTCAAGAAATTATGTCAAGAAAAAATTTATAAATAACTCTAAATATGTTTTATATTTTGGATTTCTCAAAGTAGTCTCCCTTTGCTTTGTTGACATCAGTTGTGTTGTACAGAAGTCAGGTTAGTACACAGCTGAGAGCCCTATTTGACAACTGATAGAATTCATATTATGGCAAGAACCAATCAGCTAAGTAAAGAGAAACGACAGTCCATCATTACTTTAAGAACTGAAGGTCAGTCAGTCTGGAAAATTGCTAAAAATTTGAATGTGTCTCCAAGTGGAGTCGTAAAAACCATCAAGCGCTAAGACGAAACTGGCTCACATGAGGACCACCCCCAGAAAGGAAGATCAAGAATCATCTCTGCTGCAGAGGATA